TTCCTAGAAGGCATCGCTAGAAAGTGGGGAGAAAAAGTGCGTTTGAAAATTGAAAGAAATTGAAGTTAGCTGCTCACAACACCCGATTGTAAGGAACCCGCAGGCATTTGTGCATGTCATCCTTGCGCAGGGTTTATGGCTTGAGATTTTAAGCACTAAAGTAGAAATCTCCCGCACTTTACGCAGGGCTTAGGACGAGGGGCTGTAGGGTGTAGGTTTGGGGTTTTGTGCCTCGTGTGTTAGGTTCAGTGTTCAGGGCTTAGTGCTTGCACTGGGGTGTAGGATTTAGGTTTAACTGGGTCTTGCTAAGAGGTTCAATTCAAGCTACAAAGATAAGGAAACCGTACTATGTATTATAGACCCCCATTATTATTGTTACTACGGTAATATGGTAACTTAATCTGAAAATTTAATTCCTTAACAAGTTTACTTTGCATCTCAAGCGGCCTCTCTCGGCCGCAGTAAGTGCAGCTTCCTCAGATATTCCCCGTCAGACATAGCCTTCTAGGCTTTGGGTTCAAGGTGGTCTGTCATTTCATGTAGGTGCATAGGGGCCTGCTGATTATCACCAGGAGCCCTAAGGAATAGCATTACAAACTACTCAGGCTTCTATATATCTGACGGGTTTTGTGGTTTCGGCGCTCACACTCGGATAATCCAGGCGAGGCATATGGTTCGGAGTCTGACGAGTGAGACGATACTAAGGAAGTAGTCGTTTTGTGGTTTGGGGCTTCGGGGGTTTTGAACTCTCACAGTTGGGGCGATCTAAGCGAGGCTCACCTAGGGTTGAAATGTCTGTGCTCGTTGATTGAGGCAAATTCTCGGACAGCTCATCATCGTCTTACGGTTGATGGTGTATATCCTGCATTACCCATCGTAAGGAATATACCATAATTCCCATGTTGAGGGTCCTTAAGGTAATGCAGGATTCATATCATCAACCGTAGGTCTTCAGCCTGCGCTTCACTGCTGCTATGCCTGGATGGACGACGCAAAAACAAGTGTGAGCCAACGGAAACCGCAGTTAAATGCTATAAGCATGCCATGATCGACACACAGTCTTCCCCCAAAAATGCCAGTAGAAACGCTGCGCAGGATCCTTGTCGACCGCCTTCTGTATGGCAGATACGGACGTGATATCGCGAACCAGCACGACGCAATACCCGAAGCCTGTGCCAGAACTCTGCAAGTTCGCCTGGAAACCAAGAACCAACATGCAAAAGCGTCCCGAGCAAGGAGACATCCCCAAACAGCATGTAAAAAACTGCAAGCGCTTGGAAGACGCATGAGAAAAGCAAGTGTCTCAAGCATTGAGGAGCTCAGCTCTTCCAGCTTCACCTTGGTGGGCTTGTGGTGGGTTAGGGTTTAGGGTTCAGGGTTTAGGGGTGCCAAGGTTTCCTGTTACATGCCTGGGGGTTGGTTGCTGCGACCCTTTCTAGTCTTATTGCCGCATCAAGATCGCGAGCCTTATGCTGCAGTATGCAGGCAAGGCATCAGCAATAAACACAGACATGATACGGGTAAGTTTAACTTTCCATCCATGCAGCACTAAGGAGTGCCATGAAAGAGTCAGGCAGATGTTACATATTGGCGATCCTGTAGATGATGGTGGTGCTCTGGTCAAAAGCTGCCGCAATCAAAGGAAAGGCCGGCAAGGGGGGCTGACTACAGCAACATACGCGATGAACAGCTACGACGTGGTGATGATGCAGCTGATATGTCGGTCGTGATGCTGGGCATGACTGTGTTGGAAACTGTAGTGGCGCTGCAGTGGTGGCGTCTCTGGCGGCGGCGATTGTCCCTGCTCATAGTCGCAAGTAGCAACGGCCGCATGTTTGACGTTTGTCTGATCGTCCTGCTGTGCCGTGCTGCTGCACTTTCGTGACTAACCAAGAGACTTTGGCGGTTTTTCACGTTGAAAGAGCAGAAGTACAACTACTAGAAGCAGAAGTAGCTGGTATCAGCAGTAGAACTAGTAGATTCTAGTAGCATGATAAAGCAGTGGTAGCAGTAGAAGTAGTAGCAACGGCATCAGTATCAGGAGAAGGAGTGGGGTAGAAGTAGGAGCAGTGGGAGGAGTAGGAATAGCAGTAGGACTGGTAGTAGTAGTAGTAGTAGTAGTAGTAGTAGTAGTAGTAGCAGGAGTAGTAGTAGTAGTAGTAGCAGTAGTAGTAGTAGTAGCAGTAGTAGTAGTAGTAGTAGTAGTAGTAGTAGTAGTAGTAGCAGTAGCAGTAGCAGTAGCAGTAGCAGTAGCAGTAGCAGTAGTAGTAGTGGTAGTAGTAGTAGTAGTAGTAATAGTAATTAGTAGTAGTAGTAGTAGTAGTAGTAGTAGCAGTAGCAGTAGCAGTAGCAGTAGTAGTAGTGGTAGTAGTAGTAGTAATAGTAATTAGTAGTAGTAGTAGTAGTAGTAGTAGTAGTAGTAGTAGTAGTAGTAGTAGCAGTAGCAGTAGCAGTAGCAGTAGCAGTAGTGGTAGTGGTAGTGGTAGTGGTAGTGGTAGTGGTAGTTGTAGTTGTAGCAGCAGTAGCAGTAGCAGCAGTAGGAGCAGAAGCAGTTGCAGTAAAAACCGCAGTAGCAGTAGCAACAGCAGAAGCAGTGGCGGTAGTAGTGGTAGTAGTAGTAGCAGCAGCAGCAGTAGTATTAGCAGCAGTAGTAGTACTTGTGTAAACAGTAGTGGCAGTAGCAGTCGTCGTCGTGGTGGTAGTGGTAGTGGTCGTGGTCGTGGTAGCGGTAGTGGTAGCAGTTGGTGTAGTAGTAGTAGATCCACTAAGTACCCGAGAGCCCAGAGCGTGAGGCTACCGTCCGACTCACAGGCACTCAGGGCACTCAGGCTTCAAGTGTCCCAACCACATGCCACCACATCGACTGACCGAAAGGGCTGACCAAAGCCATGCGAAAGCCAGCGACGTGCATCAAGCAATTAATCTCCCATCAGAGAAAATGCAGCCCCCACTGAACTCTGTAATGTGTTCCAGCCCAGCACAAGACACAAATACAAGATTTCGTCAAATTCGTGGCATTGGGCTACAAGGGGATGCCATTAGCGTCTTCACGACCACCAGCGAAACAGGAGTTATATAAGGGATTCAAAATCATGAAGTCACGAATTCTTCATAGGTACTGCAGCGATGCAAATGCACAGCGCCACGGGCAGCAGTAGCAGCAGAAGTAGCAAAAGCAGTGGCAGTGGCAGCAGTAGGAGTAGCAGTAGGAGTAGGAGTAGGCTGGGAGTAGGAGTAGTAGTAGTAGTAGTGGTAGTAGTAGTAGTAGTAGTAGTAGTAGTAGTAGTAGCAGTAGCAGTAGCAGTAGCAGTAGCAGTAGCAGTAGCAGTAGTAGTAGTAGTAGTAGTAGTAGTAGTAGTAGTAGTAGTAGTAGTAGTAGTAGTAGTAGAGGTGACTTAGTAGTGATGGTGAAGCAGCCGCGCTCCTGCCGTTTTACTTGCCACCAACTCGTTGTGGCCATTATGACCGAGATTGGGCATCATCACCCATTTTCATGACTTTGTCTATGGCAAAGTCACAATAAATTCATTAACATAGGAATCTGCGCCGGGTTATACATAGCACCAGGAAGAGGAACAGCCAGTAAATGCGACAGTCCAAATGAGGCAAGGTTCCTTGTCCCCAGCCACATATTCACGATGGAAGATGGCACAGAGCCGGACGAGCTGGCAAATGCGAAAGCTCTGCACTGGGCTAGCACGGCCACCGTGAGATTGAAGTGTTGCTCTATAGGGTAGTTGTAGAGGGCCTGCTGCCCTTCTAGGTTGCCTGTGCTAAGGAAAGATGGGGTCCGCGACTCACAAAGTACACAACCTGACCCTCGACAGGACGATTTTGGCTTCGGTGTCTTGACATCGCTTCTGTGAGTTGTGGTACAAGTAGCTCGGGCCGACTGGAAGTAGTAGGCGTGACAAGACCATTGCTTGTTTAAAGCAACTCGGCCCATGAACGACAAACAGACTGTCCGACAATGACCAGCAAAAGTGTACACCCAACGCATCACGACATAACCTGCACCCGACAGCTTCCAAATGCCCAATGACGCCAAAAATGGCCACAATCCCGACCGACACCGTTTGCATCCAGGCCTGTAAACTTCATAGCTCCATGATATCTTGAGTCGAAGGCCCAACCCAAACCCACGAAGATGACTCTGGAAGGCCTGCCTGCTGCGAGGTGAAAGCCTCGCCCGCAGCGCTACTCCGCGCCAGCAGCCGCGCAGACATTTGGGAGTTTCAGAGAAGGAGAATAGGGAACCTGCCCATGATACTATATCTATCATAAGGAACCCCAAAATAGTATTGGTAATTATTTCGGCCCCTATTAGTCCAACATAAACCCCCCCAAAGAGACAGATCCGCCAGTCCTGAAGGCTCGGTGGCTTCCCCGGTTCTAAGTGCCCTGTCAAAGCTGCATGAACGGCATGAACTAATGTAGGAACCCGATGAAGAAACCCTGGGCCTATAACCCTAAAATAGTAGGACTCCTATTTATTATAGAGGCCCAAGGTTTCTTGATCAAGTCCATGCTAAGGAGCTTTAGCATGAGCACTAGGGACCTCTGAGGAGTCAGCTCTCAGATAATCAAAGGGCATGGGCACTTGGCTATCTTGGCGGCCTGCCTAGTTCCAAATGCTGACAAGCACTGGATAGTGAGTGCACATCGGGATTACTATTGCCAATCATTGATGTTTCCTTGCGAACGTCCTTGTGTCGTGAGTGCAGACCGTCTCTCAAGCTCACCATTCAGTCGGCTGCAGTGGAATGGAGCCCAAAATGCCACAGTGCTGGCCTCGACTGAAGCCTCCCATCTCGAATCACGTGTCAGTCTAGTCAGGCTTCTGCAACAACCGTGTCTATCTCTCCACCTGTCCTTGCAAACACCCTTGCACTGCACTGCTTCCTAATTAATCAACCCGAAGTATACCCAGCCTGACAAAGCTATGCACCTCTCGGGGCCGGAAGTAAAATCTTGCATTCACAAATGTTTGCAGGGAGCACGCCAATGCACGCAAAGGAGCCAACCAGCAGCAACTGCGCCTGTGCATCATGACGTACACCCATGATGAAAATTGAAGTAATTCGGGCCTGCAAAGTAATAAACTGACACAAGATTCCGACTAGCTGCGATTGGTCGGACACAGCTTAGACGCGGAGCTGCTAGCAAAAAGGAACAACATCTCTAATTCCTCCGATTTCCTTGAGCAACAGAAGTCTAGTTCAACCTCGTAAGAACGGGCCCCAAAACAAGTCATCAAAGCTTCCGAGACTGGGATGACAATGCTGCGAACGACTGACATCATCGATGGCTCCACCAATCGACATCTCTCAGCTAACACAGGCAGCATTCTGGACGAACGAATCAATCAGATTCTGAACTTGCGAGGCTTCTCTCGTCGATGTCGTGCCCGATGAGCATACATCATCTACTTGTCTGAACCCAGACTCTGCGGTAAGGTAATGTAGAAAGTAGGAAGCGAAGGCTGCATTTAAACTACCTCCGCGAAGCCACCGGCTCCCACACCTTCAAGCCCTCTCTTTGCAGGGCATGACCACCCTCGTATCCTTTTTCCTCGCCGAAGCGTTGTCGCTTCGTGGGATTCTGGCCCGGTGCTGGCCAATCCAGGACCAGGGAGAGACTCTCCTGTGTGTTCTAGGACGTTGTCCCCGCAACAACCCTCTGAACGCAGGGGGAGCAACGAGCTAAGGGCTCGAATCAACAAGCACGGCATCTTGACCGGGAGTAGTGGGAACACAAGCGACCAGGCCAATGGGGCGAAAGAAACTGAGTTGGCTCCGCCGACCGCTCTCTTTCATGCTGCTGTTACTTGGATATTGGCAACTGACATGAAAGCTGTGACCGTGGCTGTGTTCATAGGAGTGAAGAGAAACCGTGCCGAAAGTTTAAAGTCATACATCTCTTGTCGAGGCACGACAACTGCACAAAATCAAACACAAACATCGACGAACATGGTTGAGCACCGCCGCCACTGACAAAAGCAATAATGACAATGATGATGGCGATCGTGAACATGATCACGATGATGACTGTGGGGTTGGAGTTGAAGGCAATCTTGATAACGGCGGCAACGAGGATCAAGATGATGATGACCTTGAACTACTCCTGTTTCTTCAAAAGATCAGACCATCCTCGCGGTCTTCATCATGGCAGCGACCACCTGGTGCCAACATCACTACCACCGCAACAACCAGCACCGACACTAGTACCGCGAAGCAATCCACACAAAAGACCAGCACGTCACCACCCCAAAACGGTAACAGCAATATAGTCGTAGTAACCGCACGCCTCCAGCAACCCTCGCACAAACTGCACAGACGTGTTCAGTGCTGTAGGAGCCTTCATAATTTCATCGGGGCTTTGAGGCATATACTGTAACTATAGACAACTACATGGAGCCCTAAGGAATTGCATTGGTAACTATTCAGGCGTCCATGCTATGATGACAAAATTCGGTGTGGCTTGAAGCTACAATGCTGACCGAAGCAGAACATGAATCACTGCAGTCCTCCTCTTCATTGTCGCTCTGATTAGACAGGTGTGGCCCAGCGAAGTCAAGGAAACGCCGAAGGGCAGAATCTTCAGTTTCTACACCTTCAGTGCAGGTAAGACATGCAAGGCGACACAAACCAAAGTCGGTGCATTATGGTTTTCACTACAAAGGACTGTATCCAATCATGCTACCTTGATGTGCGGCAGTCGACAGTGCTCAGCCACAGGTTACCATTTGGAAAACAAGAAAACCTGACATCACAGCGTAGCACGGCCTGCTCACTACTGTCAGGCTATGATTCACCTCATGCCCATCGATGCTACTGTTTAACTCGAGCTGCTCATAACTTGTGGTCGGCAGTTGGGACTGAAGTTTCAGAGGCTGTCCGGATTTAGGGCCAGAGCTTGCAATTCAGTGGTTCTGCTACATGCTGGTAGATCAAAACGCCACCTGTGTGAAGTCTCCAAGGTCTGACGGAAATCCCTGATCGGCCAAGAGCTCCGCAAGACTCCGAGCGAAGAAATTGGCGACAAAACTCCGCGCATCTTTGCCGCTCTCAAGAAGCCAGCCCATCAAGGAACCCTAGACGAGCTATTCCGCAATTACAAGCGAAATTATATAAGACACCATCGAAAGAGCCCTGAACCTTACATGCTAAACCCTAGGTCCCGAATCCTAAAATTCTACACACTGAATCTTAAACCCCGGACCCTAAACCCTGAAACCCTGAACTCCTAAAGCAAGCCGAGCTTCGAGGTTCTCCATCTGGGCCTGCCGAAGCCCAGGCTTCCGTTTTGCGTGGGCCGCAAAGCGAATGTAAGGATTCGGATACTTGAAGGTTCATGGGACATAGTAACTATGGTTGTAAATGAGGTACCTATACTTATAATGGGATATATGAAATAACCCCGGTTAGGGTACTTATAACCATAGTTACTAAGTCCCATGAACCCCCAAGTAAGGTTTAGGGATTCGACCCATGCACAGACATGCCCGCGAAGCCTCCATAACTATTGAGCAACACCTGAACGGCCTAGAAGCATTTCAACTGTTCTCAAGAGTATGTTGCATATCGCCACACTTATGCCACAGTTTGTCTCCAACTTGGGGCAGTAGGCCTCTGTGGGTAGGAGGCTCGAAGTCATAATCCATAATCTCCCCATTTGAAGCTTCAAGCTGTGTCTGGCTGTGCCCATCTCATAAATCGTGTGGCTTTTCAGCCAGGGAGGCAGCTTATGAGACCAAAAACCGTCGGTCTCTCAGCTCCCTCAGCACCTCGGAACACGGCCCGCCGTCGCTGATGCCCAAGGATGGCTCTCTGACGTTGACCAGGCGCATGCAAGCACGCCATGCTGCAGAAGAGGGGCTCTGCCAACCTTGGAGCTCACTACGGTTGATGATATAAATCCTGCATTACCCATAATAAGGAATATACCATAATTCCCATAGTTTAGGGTCCTTAAGGTCATGCAGGATTTTTATCATCAACCGTATGAAGCTCTCTTCACTTCTCATCTCTCCCTCCGCTGTGCTAGGTCCTAAGCCATGAAAGCTTCGACAGCGAACGAGTCAAGGAGTGGGTGAGGGTGGGAGGCAGAAGGATCCATGCGCCCTGCCTGCTCGGTTATCAGGACACGAACGGCATCGCGCAATATCATAAAAGAAACCTCGTAATGACAGCAGCAGCACTACCAAAGGAAGGTTTGCAAAGCAACATGGAGCCGCAAACCAGCCTCCTGCATGGCTCCACTTACTGGCACCATCCCAACGGCCCCACCGAATTTGATGGCCAGCGACCGGTCCATGAAGAGCACCTGGAAAACAAACTTGCAGGAAGGCAGGAAGCCGTGAAACCTTACAAGATTTGTGAAGAACGGAAGCACGAGCAGACAACCCCTGAACTCATTCCCGCCTATTAAACACCTAGTTTGATCGGGGGTTCAGTGAGGGGTTCAGGTACAAGAGCAGGAGCAAAGAACAAGCAGGGGCAGGAGCAAGAGCCGCAGCAGGAGCAGGAGCAAACGCAAGGGCCAGAGCAGGAGCAAGATCACCCCCCGAAATGACAGTAGAGATAAGAACCCAGCCTCAGAGTAAATCACGGAGTTAAAGCTTGTCGGCCTCTCTAACATGAGGCGGATGGATACTTCATTGTGTGATGTTAGTGGCAGATGCTCTTTGAATCCTCCCGCTTCCATTCGAACTTTGAATGCCATTGAGCAATGGAGCCGCAAAGCAAACACCCTGAAAGCAGAAGTGCAATGCCTTGAAAATCGTGTTGGGATCGGGATTCTCTGGCATGATCACATATGACCCTCGGTATGAATAATTTCATCCCTACCATACTTCTCTAGAGCTTCACCAAGAAGGAGCTGTGGCACATCGGACGCCAAGAGGAGGTCGAAGACTCCAGGGCGAAAAGGCGCTCTCGCCCCTGAGGCCAAAGAAGGGCCAGGGCCCCGAATTTCAAGGGTGGGTGGTTGTCAAAATTATGGCCCCCTTTTGGGGTTACCCGAACTAATAGGTGCCGTATTATAATAGGGACCCTTAAAAAGGGACCCCAGAATTTTGACAGTCCACCCAGGCTTCTTCTGCTTTTGAGCGCCTTGTGTGAGCGTTTGTGGGGTTTGGGGCTTTCAGAGGCTTGACCATGGCATGCTGCGAAATTGATTCTACTATTTGCTTAAGAACCCCCCAAAAAATAAAAAATATATTCCTTATGGGGGTAATATAGGGGTTATAATTTTTTATTTTTTGGGGGGTTCTTAAGCAAATAGTAGGATTGAAAACTATATGCCAGGACCTATTAGGACAGCAGTGCTACAGCCAGGGCATGGATACTGAGATTCTGGATCGTGTCCGGCAAGCACTCGGCAGAAAAAAACACATCGAACAAAGCGCATAACATCCGCACCTTCCAGCCTGGACTGCTTTCCTAACGCTTAAGCCTAGAGGAGGCACTACCAGGAGAGATAAAGCTAGTGAAAGCCCCTGAGAACACGGGCTCAACAGTGCAGCGAGATCAAAGTGCTCGCCCAAAAAAGCCCTGCAATCAAGAACTCTGAACCATTTCCAACCGCTGGCGATGGAGTGGCCTCGGGCAAAGTCATAGGCTACTGCGTCGCAGCGGGCCCCATTCAGAGCAGCAGTTTTCAACGCCAGGCCAAGCACAGGCACCTCCTGAGTGCTCGGGCATTTCCCAGTGGGCTCGAAAGGCACAGTCAACATGTCGCCATAGAAACTGACCCCCCCGGTCCGTGGACCGGAAAGTCCTGCAATACATTCGTGGTCATTGCGTTGGTCGGAAGACGTCTAACCCCAGAATCTCGTGGAAATCGTGCAGTGAGCCAAGCCAGAACACCAGGATCTGTCCGAGTTCAGGCCGACCCGAAAGCCTAAGTACCAAAGCCCAAAACCGTTGACACATCTTTCACGAGAAGACAGCGGAACCTAAGTGAGGGCTAGACTGATGACTGTTTGTGACTCTTGCGGATTATCAGCATCCGAAACATGATGGTTCACCTCTCGTATCTCACTGCCCCATAAACTCGGAATCCTCCCGCGGCTCCTTGTCTGACAGCAACACGAGGCCCCGGGCTGCGGCGCGGACGCCTAAGGCGCCCAAGCCGGATCCCAACTCGAGCTGAAGCCTGCAGGAGGTTTAGGGTACATAGGGTTTATAGGGTTTAGGAAAGTTTGCGGGTGCGGACGCTTCTTTTTGAAATGTGGGCGCACCTACTTATCGCGCGCTTGCGTCAGCGTGTAGAAGCACGCCAACTATTCTCGATTAGAGTTTATGGTTCCACCCCCCAAACCCCCCTCCGAAGGGGGGTTTTCTTGCTCTTCGCTTTCCTTCCTAGCGGCAACCGGCCCGAAGCTCCCTGGAATTTGCCAGCCCCAAACCTTGTCTTCCAATGGTACCCCCCTGACCCCCAGTCCCCTCGATAGCGTAGGATATCGTAGGTTTGGGGTCTGTCTTTACACGGTTCTGACGAGACGCTCGGCCGGGGGCCTCGGTCGGAGCCTCGAGTGCCCATGTACATGGTCAGAAGCGCTCTCGGCATTTCGGGTCGAGGGTTCTTGGTATCGGAAGGTTTAGTAGGTTTTCGGCGATCGCACTCAGGCAATGCGGCCGAGGCATGCCGTCGTGAGCCGGCTGTGTGAAACTGACTACACGATCTCCGCTGGGAAAGTAGTGATAACCGCAAACACTCCCCACATACAAGGGTTTAGGGATCGCTTCAAGGCTTTTTTGCCTCCTCCAACTTAGGCGTTTAAGGCTGCGAGGCACGGAGGGTTGAGGGGTCATGGTTGAAGGCTCCTTGGCTTAGTACTGGGGTTTCGTTTTGCGGAGTTCTCGGGTCGATCGGGATTAGGGTTGCGGAATGCAGCATGCTTGCACTGCAAGATCCCTGTGTGTGTGTAGGTTGAGTTCCAAATTTTGGGCGAGTCTCATTAAGTTGGGAGGGAGAGGTCTTTATGAGACGCGAAATGACCGAAGTTGTCTGGGCGCACACATTGTTTTTGGCTCAGACAGCGGCCTCGTGCATTCTCCGGACATTACGGTCCCTGTTGCCCCTGAAGGTGCGGCATTGGACATGCCTTGCAACGAGGTCCAGCCAGGAATATCAAAATGCTGCAAGACCCTCTGTGGAGTCACGAATATCCAGTCCATATATGGACTCCCGGAAAAGAACTTTTGTTCTTGTCAAACTCCGGAAAAGTTGACTGCACAGAGGGTGGTCCTCCAAAATGAAATCAAGTTCGCCCCTAAGGGATTGCTCAAGAGGATTTCCCATCATTCTTGCCGCGGCATGGCATCATGGGTGCCAATGCTCTTCATTTACAACGGCAGGCCAATTCCTCTGGAGTTAGATTGCCAGCCTTGACCACCAAGCTGTGCATTATCACTGGATATGTAAACACTGCCTGCCTGTCATCGATATCGTGGGAAAGCTCGTGATGTCTATTCTGCTGGCAGCTAGCTCGAGATTCTTGCTACTGTACTTGTCTGCCAGCTACTGCGAATCACAAAACGAAAACGCTTCTCTCGAATTCAATTTGCTGGGTTGTTGACATGCAAAGGTACCTCCGGCAGTTAATCCTGTTGAAGAAACCTAAACAGCCTTCGCTTTACAAACTGGATGCTGGTGCCAGAACTGCTCGCCGAGATCGTTTTCTGGGAGGAAGCATCCTCGCTGTCCTCTTGAGAAGGGACTGCATCCCCAACGAACTCTAGAATTCTCCAGATGACGTCTGGATTGATCTGCTGCTGGCATATGCAGTGGTATGTGAACATCATCTGCCCACGCACCAAGGACCTGCGATGCAGCCAACTTTGCCGGACAGCACGAGCCAAGCATAAAGTATGGATGCCGCCACCCTGGTCTCGCCTAACCAACCGAAGCAATGTGTCGAAGGCTTCCAGTGATGTATGTCGCTCGCTCGACATTGGCCGAGCAAAAGCATCAAGGAAGCTTTGCTTTGGAAAGCGCTGTAGCTCTTTGTTGCCTCTGGTGCAGTGGTAGAGGAGGAACCGCAGAACCATGCCCTCTACTAAATAAAGCTTCAGGCAGTACTGCATCGGATCAGTGAGCTCGGCACCCTGAACAGCCAGCCGAAGACATGCCAACAGGCACCAGGCATGAACGCAGCAGTGGGTGTCGGTGGAACTGTCCAGCAGAGGGACCCACAGCAGGTAGTAGCATGCAATGATGACCAAGAAGGCTTCCGCAACCAGCTGGGCATGCCCGAAAAACAGCACGGGATACAGGTAGCAGGCAAGAAAAGCATAGCTGAAGCACCTGAACAGATATCGGCTGGCACCTGGATCCTCGAGGATGTAGAACTTGGCCTCAGTGAGCTGATCCATCGTGCACCACCCGACGATTCCGGCCACCATCAAGAACATGTTGCAAACACCGCAGGCGGTCACAGATGTCAGCTTCCAGGCGTTCTCATCCTGCAAAGAATATTTCATAAGTCGCAGCTTCGGAAAGAAGGAAACAACGGTGTATCCCAGGTAGATGATGCGACTGCGATGGCGGACTCCAGCAGAGACACCGTCACAATGCCACAGACTCCGCAACGTCTCCATGCGAGATGAGTTGAGGACAGCGTTATGGCGTCATGGGCGATTTCAACCGCGGTGGGGCTTCTACAAGGCAGGTTTTTCTTCACAGCTGGAGGGGACGAGGACTGTAACGACTTCTCTAGGTCTGGGGCCTGTATGTTTAGCTCTCGCATGAAGACCAGTTCTTCAGCGACAGAGATTGCCAGTTGCCTGTTCACTCAGATACACAGCAAGCTTTGCATTGGAAAGCTGTCGGCCGCGGGTTTGCGGTAGAGTGGGCTCAGTGGAGAGAGCTTCGGACTACACAGACTTCCGCTTTCACTGCACACTGAACCTAAACCCTAAACCCCTTTTCAGCATGTGCTTGGCCCCTATAAACCCTAAACCCAGGTTGTTCGAATCCTTCTTGCGCCTCCCTAAACCCTTTTACACCTGGACTACGCATAACCCTACACCCTAAACCCTAAATTCCTAGACCCTAAATTCCTATAGACCCGAAATTCCTAGACCCTAAATCTCCGCATTGCCCAGGGTTCAGGCATGTCCCATGCTTCGCACGTGACATACCAGGCTCATCGAGGCTCCCACAATCTGCACTGTGATGCCTACGTATCTGCCTGTCTCATGTATAGATACATACATATATGATATACTGTATATATATATATATGTATAAATGTATACAGATACATAGACATTTACACGCATACGCTATAAACAATCACAAAATGAAAGCGCAAAGCCCCCAGCACCTCGGAAAAGCGGCACAATGCCCGATACTTCTCTTGACCAGACCAAGAGTTACAAATTATCACCGTCGTTTGCATCAACCCCATGATCGCTCCTCATACTGGCTGAAAACCAGCTCCACCGCACCATGGCCAATGTGTTCAGCATGATTGTCGCCATCGAAACCGTCACCAGCACGACAACGGCAAGGTCGGCATCAGACACTGAACAACACATTGTGCGTCACCATGCTCCGGGCTATGCTAGGCAGGTGGTGGTGGTTGCGTCGGCGGTAGAAGGATAATGCACAGGGCGATGACGATTCGGTGGTGGTGACGCCGGGGACTGAGTCTGGTGATGCCCCAGATTATTTTTCTCTGCACTACAGGCAAACATGTAGGAACCTTGTTCAGAAACCTTGGGCCTTATTAGGGTTCCTGATATGAATGCTACTATGTTGGGGTTATAGACCCAGGGTTTCTTCACCAGGTGCAAGCAATTACCCAGGCCTCGGCCCCGGCGATGGCAAGGCTCTTGCGGCAGCGCGTGAGGCTGCCGCCCAAGGTTGGAATCCGGTGGTGTCCTGCGTTGTGCGTGAGAGAGAGTACTAAGCTTACTAAGACTCCAGACGATCTCTCCCGTCCGACTGAATTACACATGCGACTGATTGTTTGCCAAGGCCCAATGGGCTGGGCGGCTGCAAGCAATGTTTGCATGATAAGGACAAGGAGACACCGACACTCGAACTGGAGGAGCAAGCATCAGAAAGTCAGAGCTTGTCGAGATAGATTCAGATAGATACCATCCTAAGCCGTAAATCGCAGGGAAGTCAAGCAGAAGCAAAGAGGGTCGAGGCAGCCAACGCACAACTGTGGCATCCGGGGCTGTGGATCCTAAATTCTTGCAATCGCGATGTAGTGAAGAGTCGGGAACGAAATTGCACGTGGATCCAAGTGGGCCCTTGCATGGAGCCTGTTTGATTCCGACTACCACGACGACACTTATATGCCTGATCCTATCACCTGAAACCTCTTCGTGTCTCGCGCGCACTGAGGTAGCGCCACTATATGGCAATCAACTCAGCAGCCAAGGTCGCTATCAACAACTATCCTCATTATATCCACAGCTCCAGCAGCACTCACATCTACGGCTTGCGCCGAGGAAAGGTTCCCTTGAAGACCGGAGAAGTGAAGAGTGTAACAAGCCTACTTGTCGGGGTGTCATGGGGAACTAAAGGTTAACCTTTTCGGTTATAGAGGGGTTACATAGGGGCCTACTCTATATACTACTAGGCAAGTTGCCCAGTGCCGAAACCCTAAACCCTGAACCCAAAGCCTCGCAGCCGATCTGCAAACTCTCGGGGCCCTGGCCGAGCCTCGGAACTCCGGGACTGCAACGGTGACTATAAAGTAGGGATTGCCGTACTCTGAGGGGTTATAGGGTTTAGGGCTCCTGCGCGGTGCTTCGGAGCTCCTGCATCCCTAAAGTCCACGAAACCCCACCCGCACACCCACGGATGAGTACTGCGACGACTACGGCCACGTCCCCCACCACCACCACCTCGTTACAAACGAATGGGACGATGACACAGCCACTGGCACGAAAGGTCGTGGTCCTGGTGCCATCACTCTCGCCGCAGTGCTGATGAGTTTACACTTTCTACAAGCAGTTGCGAGTAAGGCTATCTGACTCTACGACAGATATGGTATGACAAACAACAAACATCACTGGTGACATCGTCATATTCACTATCAACCTTGCTTCGACGGGTGACCAGTGCGGTCACTACCAGCAGAAACAAAGGCGATGCTCTGTAGGATGTCGCACCTTTGAAAGCAGGAAAGCTTCTGCTGACCCTTCAGAAGCGCAATTTGAGAAGGGCCGTGGCGCCGCCCCCGATGCACCGTTCCCGCCTTCTTGTACTGGGTGAGATGACCGAGAGCTCCGCTTAATCCGTGCTTGAGGATTCCGGATCGTCCCCACCCATGAGTACTTTAGGGTTTTGGGGATTAGGATAACCCTGAAGTCGAAACGCAAGCCAGGCGCTTGATGGGAGCTCCTCCCAGCAAAAGCTCGCTGTGCCGCTCCATGGAATCTCGAAGAGTTCAGACGCAGTACTGCCCAACATGGTGAACTTCGAAGCTGTGCGCAAGGTGCTGCGTTATGTCTGGGACAAGCTGAGTTAAGGTCGTGCTGTATGCAGTGGATCATGCATGCGAGCTGCTACTTCGCGAACAAGCATGAGGGCAAGCAAGGCGAGATGTCCATTCGTCCGCTTGGACTGCACAGACATGCTGGTTGTCTGGGCAGCAAAGCCTTTCCGAAAAGCCTACACAACCTGCTTAACTTCGTAGTTGAAACATTCCGTTGGAACTTGCACGAAACCGAAGTCGTTTCAACTCTGCCAAACTCAGTTAGGAGCACTTGTTCCTCTCTTAATCTTAACAAGCACTGTGCACAGAACTTTCGGTCCAAACAACGGCAGCTACGATTGCAAGAGATCGCATTGCCTTACAGTAGCAATCCGAAATCTGACGAAAATAATGAATCGACCGAACATGAGCTTCATCGGGTCACACTCGACCAAGTAAAGTGGCTTCACCCCGAGCCGAAACCATTTGGGCATGAACAAGGCATCATTTATCAAGTCTGGTGAGTGGGTATAGATTAACGAAAATTGCAGTTCACCGAATCCAAGCGACGCCCTTGAAAAATCCAGGCCTCATGCGGATGCCGCAGGATACGGTGCTGTGCCTTCACTAAACATGCCGGGAAAAAACGAGCTGCTACTGCAGTTCACGAGCTACTGACTGTGGGTTCGTCTCCGGGAACCTTCCGGAAGCCTTGCCCACCTGAAACTCCAAGTAGCAATCCAGCAGGGTTGTGCCCATATGAGTGCTCATCAACTTTTGGGGCCTGCATAGCATCATGCCTGCATCGTCACCATGATGAACATCGTCATCACCGTCGTCGTCATCTCCGCTTACTTTTGTAGGAACCTATACTTCCGGAAATATTCGGCAGGCGTGCATGTGTATGAGTCTGAGCATGCAAATGCGCATGCAGGTTGTGTAAGAACCATGTGTATGCATAAAGCACATGCACATGTGCATGTGCAGGATTATGTCCGGTTCTAGGTTAGTGCACATACATACATACATACATAAATGTATATATATATATATATATATATATAATATGTATGTATGTATGTATGTATGTAAGTATGTATGTATGTATGTACATATGCGTGTGAGCCTGCGTATAGCATGTATGCACATAATATGAGATCATAAATATGAATACACACCTACATACATACATGCATACATACATTACACCTTTTTCCTATCTATAGCCATCACCTATTATGTAAACATACATATGTGTATGTAAATGTACATACTTTTACATACATACATATATATATATATATATATATGTGTGTGTGTGTGTATGTTTGCACATATGTATAATAAACATGTTTGTATGTTTGCAAGTATAATACTATTGACTGCAAAGGCCTAGATGCCGTGATGTTCTGCACTGCAAACCCCCAGCTGCTCTTGAATAGGTGTCATTCTCGAAGCCTCTGTTGCGATCATGCGTGGTTGCTGTCACATCTATAAGAAAAAAACCATAAGACGAGCTTCATCCCAACCCCGAACCGAGGCCGCTGGCACGGCAAAGCTGCTGCCAGCACCAGATGATGAGAAAAGCCAGGCCTGTCAAGTGATGTTCGGCCCATATCTTCTCGGGCTATCAGCAGAACCTTGACCTGCTTATCCCATCCATGATCACCGCTCCCACGAAGCACCCGGCACCTCTACATGCCAGGAAAAGAGGCAGCCGGACCTCAGTGCGTCGGCTATGCTACACTTTCAAGCTTAGGATTTAGCGTTACTGATAAATTTCCTTTAGCTCTTGAGCTGTTTAGGCGGGCTTTATGTGATCCCTCCCCGTCTCTCCACCGAGTTTGCAAGTTCCAAACAGCTGATTCCTCTCCAGGCCCGGAGGAGGCAACTGGGCTCTCGAAAACGTTGCAGCATGTGTTTCGAGCGCCGGGCATATCCGTTTCCGTCATGACCTGTAGACAACGTTGAGCAGGGAAGGAGAAAAGCAAAGGACAACAAACATGGCATGTATCGTTACAACTGTGCCGAAGCGACGCAGGATGACGCAGGTGACCTGCGAGCAATGCCTGTGAGGTCAGGACCTGCATCCTTTGCATGAAACCACCTCCCGTCCCCAGGCAAACCAAATAGCCGGTGCCTCGCCAGTTGAAGTTTCCCAGCCTCAGCATGCAAGCGACAGACGGGTTTAGCTGCAAGCTTCCATGCTCTTTCTCTGTTGTCCTTTATTCAACAGACAAGAAACGAATGTCTCCAGCAATGGCGACGAGTCGATAGGGTAGCTGATCGCGAACTATAAATGCGTCGGAATGGCTACTCATATCAAGGGCACGTAGTACGGGCTACTCCTAGTGTCGCATTTCATGCGCGTAGCCAAGACATCAGCTGTAAGCTTCCCACCCCTTGCTGTACAGTTGGTCCACGAAGGTGCAACAGAAGACCTCCACCTTGGTGCACGCTTCAAAGATTCCGCGCTCACACTCCGGGACCAAAGCGATGTAAGCCAGCGTTCAATCCGGCGTAGGAACGTTTTGTCGGTGCCGATACAGCAAGCAGCACAGAAAGCAGTGAAGAGTTGCAGAGGAGCCACGTCGTCGAGTTCCCAGGCTCCGCAGAAGCCAAACTTGTCCATGACAGGACGATGAAAGCCAGAGTTGTGGGGTTGTTTTTGTTCTCCCGCATGGAGGGTTTAAGGGTTTAGAGGTTAGGGCCGGGGGCTTTAAACCTTAGCGGACAAGTCCAAGCAAAACATACACATAGTGCTTATGGGTTCCAGTGCAACCAGGAGTGTGATCCGAACGGCAAGTCTGAGGATCACCCGGACATGTCGAACCCTCTCGTCCCCGCACATCCGAAGACTCCATTGATATGCTGACAACCAGTGAAGCAAGTGCTTGACAGAATGTCTGGGTGCGCTGACTGCAGTCAGGATCGTAAGAGCCAGAGCCTGTCGGAGATCAATCAAAAACACCAACACCAGGGCCTTTCGAGCTGGAATCCAGAACGGAATATTGAGCAGATATACTTACATATCGGAACTGGAAAATATCTCTACATATTTCAGAACCCCTTCTGTGAAAAAAATGCGCGAAGGTTGGGGCTTTGCCAAACTCCCGAGCTCAGGGTGGTTGGGATGCGTTGCACAAGATGAACCAGATGCGTGAAGGGATTTAGAGGAGGCACGGGCTTCAAAGGGGTTCAGAAGCAGTATGAGCGTTGCAGCAAGGGATCTAGACTTAAATACAAGTCTTAGGCAGGAGCTGGAAGAAGAAGGGAAGCACACACGCAAAACTCTATGGGCTGGAAGTGACCTACCAGTTTTTGCACCGAAAACTGGAAGAACGGATTAACATGCAGGCTGGGTGCGTCGTGAATGGACTCCCACCAGTTGCACGTGAGGGCTTACAAAGCCGAAGAGTCAAGCGTACACCCGTACACCCCGGGAGAAGCCACTCAAAGCCGCACAAAAGCCCGATACCCCTAAGACGTATTTTGGCCACCCCGCCTTACGGAATTGAACGGCGGTTAAGTTGAGACATCGGTGCGCAGAACCCTACGGTTTGTGGACTGAGGTCGAAGGATGATGTACAGCGACTATCTGGCGGCCCTAAGTTATCAGAACAGTTCCGGTGTGCTTATTATAATGCTATGATACGGAGCCCTCAAGCAATACGGGTGCTACTTATTCAAGCTTTGATACTAATTCTTCAAGCGTCTGGGCCTGCTTGTCTAGTCTGGACTCGAGCTTCTTGCAGATCGTGGTCTCGTGGTACCACCTGTGGGTGTAGGGTTAAGGTTGTAGGGTTGAAGCTCATGGTTTTAAGCTCCTGCCCAAGGGGGGATAAGGGGTTTCTCAGGATCTATGGGCTTACTTGTACAGCTTTCTTCGGGAACTAAATACTAAAGGTCAACGTTTAAGACTGTGTATATGTACGTCTTTTATGACCACAGCACAGCTCAAGGCGTTGCGGCATTGCTAGACTCTGACTTAGCTTTGTGGCTTATCGGTGGCGGGCTCAGGCAAAAGCGTGTAAGGCGCCTGAAACAATCAGAACAGCATTTTGGGGGAGATAGGTCGGATAGGTTCTGCTGTAAGCACCTTAAGGACTGTTTATGGGATGCTAAAAATGTAACATTCCTACCCCTCATACGTACGAGACTCTGGATCTAGAGAAAATGGGAGGTCCTCAAGCTTCCGCTTTCTGCTTGCCTTGGCTAGGATACCCAGCAACCTAAGAATAAAAAGGCATCTCTTTTTGGTATTGGGTAACTTTATAAGGAACCTAGGACTACAAAAAGGGAATAAGGGTACTACTGGGCATCCTAGTTGGGCCTTCTTTCTGCCTCGGATGGCGGCCCAGAGGCTCAAGGATTCTACCTCAGACGAGTTTGGGCCTTTCCTGGGCTCTTGAGGAACTTGATCTAAGTTACCATAGTAGGGATCTACCGTATTTTTGACGACCTTACTCTAAGTTACCATAGTAGGGATCTATCGTAAATAATACGGATTCCCTGTAAATGGCAGCTTAGATGAAATCCTAAACACGAACCCAGTTTCCTGAAGTTGCTGCCACACCAGTGCCAACACTGCCGGCCTCTGGTACTTGTCTTCAACCTCAGAGCTGAAATCCTGCTCCAGGAGCTTCGCGATTTGGTTTCCTAAAATTGGGGGGCTGCCTTGTTTTGGGGTGACTATGTTAGGATCCTGCTACTTAGGGTGCGATATTGGGGTCCCCTATCTTCGGAAACTCCCATTTTGTGGGGGTCTGGTGCAAGCTTTTCAGAGGCGGCAACTAGGTTGCAAGTAACGAAGTGAAGGCTTACACGGGCTTGGGAAATTTGCAGGGTGTGCGACCACGGAGATGGCTGTTATGTTTCTGTTGTCGAAGGCGTAGTAGGACCATGTAGGAAACCAACGCAACAGATTTGAGAAGTATAGGGTGCCCGAAGGGAGAACT